AGTGAGATGTGTCTTTATAACAATGAGGAAACTGTTAACTTCAACAGCGATATCTTGCAACCTGAGAATTAGATTGGTGCAATGTTATTTATTCGCAGCTCTACACTAAGGACAAGATTATATCTTCAATGAAAGAACAAGAAAGAAGCTAGAATCTTTTTGATATATGGGTGTAAAGGCGGGTCTTGAAGATCTCCTTGGTTAGAAAGTAATAAGTGCTGGAGACTAAAGAAAAATTGAAGTTAAATTAAATGCCAAAACAAGGGAAGCTAGAGTCTGGAGTATATTTGGTGTAATTCAAAATAGGAGAATCTACTTTTAGGACAAGGTAAAGGACCGAAGGACTTCATGGACCGAGGAAGTGTAAGATTCTGACCATATTCTGGAAGAAGAATACCCAAAGATTAATTCTTCTTCTTCTTCTTCTTTTGCCCTTTAATTCGTCCAATTTTGAACATAGGCTTCCCCCAGTTTCCTCCATTCGCTTCTGTTTTGTGCTTTCTGTTTCCAGTGTATTCCTCCTATCTTTCTAATGTCATCTCCCCATCTCATCTGGGGTCGTCCTCTTGCTCTCTTTCCTGTCCATGGTCTCCATTGTTGTATCGTGTTGTTCCACCTATTGTCTGTTTGTCTGGCGTTATGACCTGCGAAACTCCATTTTAGCCTGGCTATATGTTGACCTGCGTCTTTGACTTTTGTTTTGTTTCTTATCCAGATGTTTTGCTTCTTGTCTTTTAATTTTACTCCCAACATTGCTCTCTCCATGGCTCTTTGTGTCTTCACTATCTTATCCATGTTTGCTTTGGTCAGAGTCCATGTTTGGCATGCGTATGTGAGAATTGGGAGTATGCACTGGTCAAACACTCTTGTTTTTAAGTACTGTTGTATTTTCTTATTCTTTAGGACCCATTTTAATTTCCCAAATCCTGCCCAGGCTAATCTGACTCTTCTTTGACCTCTTTGACTTAGACAAAGATTAATTATTACTAGGTTATTTCAAATAAAAAACAAGAGAACAAGAGCAAGAGAGAGGGAAGATGAAAATATATTACACGAGAAAAAAGATGAATATACTGAATTGATCCATAATTAATATTTCATCACACCAACACAATAATTATCAACATTAGTTCATTGAAAGTAAGTTTTCAATTAAAAATAAATCTAAAATATTTCAAAAATAATCTAAAAAGACAAAACAAACCGGAATACCAGAATTATCTTTAAATTAGTAATGATAGCAATGTTTTTGTTTTTTGTAAACATTAAAATACTACCTTAATATCATAATGAAGCCAAAAAAACACTGATACTTTCTTGAATGGTTTGATTCTGTCGTAAATTTTTTATAAAACTTGACTAGCTAAAGATATTCGTATATTTATGGTCCGTAATTTGGTACACTACTAAAAACTTAGGAAACATTTTTGATAGAAAAATCATTTTAAGTTAAAATTTAGTAAACTTACAAAATATCATATAATTTGAAATTGTACGATAATATGATTAAGATGATTATCGAATATTAAGCTTGATGTCCCATGTCCTTAAAACTTTTCTCAGAATTATCCATACACGAACTTAAAAGATGTGCGAGTTCCAGATGAGTGACACTCAATTCGGATTTCGAAACGGATTGGGAACACGAGAGGCTCTTTTTGCTTTCAATGTGTTAATGCAACGATGCAGAGACATGAATGTAGATATATATGCATGTTTTATTGAGTATCGAAAAGCATTTGACTGCGTTAACCATCAAAAGATGATCGAAATTCTGAGAACAACTGGAGCTGACGAACAAGACTTATCTCAGAACTATACTGGCACCAAACGGCAACAATTGAAATATAGCACACAACATCTGAAGATACACAAATTCGACGAGGAGTGAGGCAGGGTTGCGTCTTATAACCGCTACTGTTTAATTTGTATTCGGAGTCTATATTCAGACAAGAATTAGACCAGGTCCAAGGCCGAATAAAGATTAAACGAAATCAGCATAAACAACATCAGATATGCTGATGATACTGTCTTAATAGCAAGCAACACACAAGAACTATAAATATAATAAATGCGGTAGTTCACCACGGCGAAATGTTCGGTTTACTTCTAAACGTTTCCAAAACTAAAACTTTAGTATTTTCAAAGACACCAATAAACGTACATGTGTATGCCAAGGTATATGTGTCAAATAATAGAACAGGTAAATTCCATAAAATATTTGGGAGCAAATATCAATAGTCAGTGTAATCCAAAAAAAGAAATACTATCAAGAATCGAAAAAGCAAGAAAAACATTCATGAGCACGAAAACATTTTTTACAAGATGAGACCTTAGTATGCAGCTTAGAATCCGAATGATGAGATGCGTTTTTTTCTGTCTTACTGTAGGGCTGTGAAAGTTGGACAATGGACTCTGAAATAGAAAAAAGAATAGATGCCTTTGAGATGTATATATACAGACGAATGTTGAGAATTCCATGGGTACAAAGAGTTACTAATGTTGAGGTACTTTGTCGAATGTGTAAACAAAAAAAATTACTTAGAATAATCAAAAAGAGGAAAATGCAATACCTGGGTCATGTGTTGAGAGGCAAATGATATGAATTACTTCCAAGTTATATTGGAAGGAAAAGTACAGGGCAAACGATCAGTAGATCGTGACCCAAGTAGATAGTGGCCCTGAGAGCACTTCGATCTATCTCAAAGATAAGGTAATCGAGGCTGCAAAAGACTGTGAGGCAGCGATTTCCACGGGCCGTAAGCCGTGGGTATCCGATAATACGTTGACTGTGATTCAGAAAAGAACATAAAACTAGATACGGAACAAACGATGAATACGGAGCGGTATCAGTGCCGCAAAGACAAAGCTGATGACATCTCTCAAATATGCAGAGAGATAGAGGAACATGGCTGTCATATATTTATTTCAAAAGATCAAACTTCTTACCAGAGAATTTAAATCTCAAATGTGGTCTGTAATAGATAAGGAAGGTAATCAAAAGACCGGTACTGACGAAATATTAGAAACATAGCGAAACTAATGTGACGAGCTGTATAAAAATAACGAGGTACCAGCAGAAAATCAATGGCTCTCTAACTACCGTAGAGAACCTACTGTCTTACTCGCTGAATACAAAGAGTAAAGAAATAAAGAAGTTAATAGGTTATGGGATGCATCCCTTATCCTAGACTTCACATGTATTGGCGTCAAGAGATGCAATTTCACATGGTATCAAGCCAAATGACAAGAGACCGCTTCAAGACACTGCGTACAGCCTTGCACGTAGTTGATGAGGACATAGCACCTGAAGAATGTACTTTGGAAGGTACAACCCATCATAACTGCAGTTAAAAAAGCATGCGACAGATTAGAAAGACACCCAGGTAATTATTCTATTGACGAACCAATTATTCCTTTCTGTGGAAGCTGTGAAATCGGTTTTAGACAAGTAGTTAAAAACAAACCGCGACCTCAAGGCCTAAAAGTGTTATAACTGCAGTTAAATGAGAATGTGACAGATTATAAAGACATCCAGGTAATTATTCTATTGACCAACAGATTATTCCTTTCTGTGGAAGATGTCCAAATGGTTTAAGACAAGATCAGACACTGACAGATCATTGGAGTTTCCGCTGCTGTCATTCTACACTTATCACAGTCAATTCCTCTCCAGGAAGCTGTCTCTATTTTGATAGATATTTTTCATCAGTACCCCTCATTGAACGTCTATCTCAAATGAAACTTTATGGAACAGGTACTTTGATGATGAACAGAGTTCCAGAACGAAGAAGATGCCTTTTAAAGAAGATCGTTGCATGAAACGAGGCGAATCGCAGCAATTTGTGTGTGGAGACGTAGTTGTTGTTAAATAAAAAGACAATAAATCTGTGCTACTGGTATCGAATTGTACATCAGCTGACAATGCTGGGAATCGCTGGGATAAATTTTCTAAAGCTTATATTTAAGTTTCCATGCCAAAGCTTATTCACAACTACAATACCAACATGAGAGGTGTGGATGTTCTAGACCAAGGTATGGAATATTATCAAACATTCATGACAACAAAAAAATGGACCCTCAATGTAATACTGTACTTTATAAACCTTCGTGTAGTGAATGCTTGTCGCCTTTATAGAACTGAAGCGATCAATACACATATTCCAAAAAAGAAAATACAAAATTTGCTTCAGTTCAGATTATAAGTAGCCGATGTAGTGTGAAGTATTCTCATTGGAACCAAAACCAAAAATTCTTCATCAACAAGTGAAGACAGTGAATCTATGGATATTGATCCAGTTGTAAACCAAAAAAGGTATCGACCAGCCAATAATCCATGTGACTCAATGAGCTATGATTGTTATTAACATTTTCCTATTTTTGATTAAATTCAAGCTCCTATAACATGCAGAGTTGAAAATTGCTCTGGTAGGCCTAAAGTTATAAGTGAAAAGTGTAATGTTTATTTGTGTTTGTCACGCAACAAGTCCTGTTTTAAAGATTACCATAAAAAATAATTATTCTTTTGAAATTACTGTACCTCTCAATTTTCAGGAATATTTGTTTGAAATTTACTCCTAGTTTTTGTTTTATTTTAGTTAGTATATAATAACATATTAAAAAATTGTAAAATAAATTTTTATTTGGTCCTAATAGTGTTTTCACGTTTAATAAAAGTGAATTTTTTCATACACTCACGATCCTGCGTCCATAGAACATAAGCCGAGAGCGCAAGAACGTGACATGTCATTTGTGACAAATTCAAACTATGAATTTTTTTCTGCATTTTTATTCAAAGGTAAACTTAATTTTCACTCAAAAAAAATTCAGGCCTAAAAGGAATACAGCCAGTTGACACATCGAAGAGATATTCAAACACGAATAACTCAAAAAGAAAACTATCATTATTTATCATAAATGTTTCCTTAAATTTTTAGCCATTATATTTCAATTGTTCCTAAAAACTAACTACTTTAAGGTATTATCTTTGATATAACTGCCAAAATAACATTGTTTGGACCCAAATTACTCACTTAGTTAATATATACATTTCTTTTAGTTAATTTTGAGAACTGTTTTGTGGCGTAACAATTCCCAAGGCTCTGTCTATTGCACTATTACTACCGACATTGGTAAATTCTTTAGCCATACACAACTTATGTGCCTTGCACTTATCGTGATGGTTGACGATTTCTAACCTAAAATTTGAATTTCCAACGGCAAAGGAGGTACGTATGTCCGGTACCTCATGACTCCACTTCCGACAATATTTGCAGTACATAATATTTTGATTTTCATCATACTGCAACCACATGTAGATATCCATCCAGTTTGGTCTAAATTTGCTGTACTTTCGCCCCACGTTGGATCTAGGTGGTACAGTTTGGGAATTCGAAGAGCTCTGTATAACGGAACACTCTTGGGATGTCTGTTGTGATTTGTTAGCATCGGCAGCTGCACCGGGGGGTGAAATCATTAGTTTAGGGGAAGAAATTGTCATGTTCGTATATTCCATGTTACCAAAATTGACTTCCGCGGATTGTATCTCCAGATTTGATCTATTCCATATATTAGCCACCGTTCTTGCAGAAATATCGTCAATAATAATAGTGGTAGATAAATTCTCCAGTTTTTGCGGTTCGCTGGGTTGTTTGATAGGCGGTTGTTGAGGTAACACCGTAGTTGGTAGAGTTTCAAGGTCGCCTTCTCTCCCCCAAGAGTTGATCTGTCAAAAGAGAAGGAAGGATATGTGAATGCCGATTGGTTCACAGCATTTTCTGATGCTTTTATTTTTTATATTGTCGGTACATATCTCAATCGAATTACCTTTAAATCGTTTCAGAAGTATTCAAATCTTAAACTCAAATTCTATACATAAAACAAGATTTTTCTATATGTATTTGAGCAAAATTTTGTACTTTTGTGCACTTAGTATTGTGGTAAGAGGCTGTGAAATTGGCAATGAATGAAGAACGTTAAAAAGACTAAATCTATTCACCAAGTAAGGGTGCCCAAGGACTTTCTAGAAGTAAAGGAAGGATACAATTAAAATCGAAACATTACAGAATATATTAAAAATCAGAAGATCCTAATACAGCATGGCAAAATAGGAATTTTGCTAAATTTGATATTGCAGCAGAACTTCCTTAAGTTCTATCAAAGAATATTTTAAATAACATATAAATGACTCTCCCATTGATAATATTTAAATACTCTAAATTTTTGTTTTAAGATCGTATACTAAGCAAAATAATCATTAGAAGCTTTCCTGGAACCACTAGATCGACAGGGTTCGCAGGATGACTTTTTAATGGCAAATGAGGTCTGCAGCAGAAAATCCTACATTGGATTTATCTGTTACTGGTGAGGATGGTCTAAGCCAAGGCTCGTTGGCCTAGACCATCCTCAGAAGCCATGAGAACTGCCCCTACAGAGGTCTTGGTAAGTCTGTTGGGTTTACCGACACAACACCTTATTGTAGAAAATGAAACCATGATTTCCGCCTTCAGGAACAATTGCTCTTGTGAATGACGAGTGAATGAGAAAGTGAATGAGAGACACTAATCGGACTGTGCTTGGGGACATTTGGAGGCAGATCGCCGAATACTAGCCTGTGCTTTCCATTGTATTGGCCAGCACCTCTATCTCAGAGTATACCCGTCTATCTTACATATTGATCCAGGACGAGTATACAGACGTGGAGTCGGACTTAAGTCGAGCCAGGGTACCGGTCCCTAAATTCAACCTTTCATCTTCCCGATCTTGCCTTTCCAGGGGAACCTCTAAAAATCCTGAGAGCACAAGCTAGTTTTTAAAAGCAAAGGGGGGCTAGCTGCCGCTGCGTTGACTAACGCCAAGTTTTAACTTAATATGGGCATCTGATTACTCAGGTGTAGATGGAAACGAATAAACCGATGTCTTTGCAAGATGAGCTCGCCTACTCTGTCTTTGGGACCCTCTAGTAGTAGACTCCCTAGGCTTCAGGAATCATGCGTTAGTGGTGAAGGTAGTACAAGCTAGACTCCATATAGCGGGTTGTTCCTAGAGTCTCACAACTCAACTCCCCCTACTAAATCTCGTTGGCGGTCAGTATGCTTAGTGGTGACTGTAGATTTAGAAGGCACCTATATATAATTGGATTGCTAAATAGATGGCTAAATATAATCCCACCTCTTTTGTCAGCGCCCAGCACTGGCTTACCAGAGGTGGCAGACCTTGGTTCGGCGTTTATCAAGCCGGACTAGATGAAAGAGTCACACCTTTTACAAAAACTTGTGGCTTTCTTCCAGGCCACAAGTCTACTAACGGAGTACACGCCCTGTAGGACTCACTTTGGTAGGAGTTGCTGCTGATTCTAAGTGAAAATAGGAGATTCGGAATAGCTGGTCCTCTAGACATGCTGAAGAGTGGATCCCCACAGGCCTGGATCATACGGGGCGATACAATGGACCAGCTCAAAAAGATTTAAGTGATTAAACGGCTAAAAAATGATCTACAATTTACCATTTGGACACGACAGTCAGAGAGAAACATCGACAAAAAAAAATCTTTTGAATGAAAGGAAGATACAGTGGCTTGAAAACATTTAGATAGTATACATGAGATAAATATAAGCAAGATAGATATATTTTTAAATGCATTATCTGTTATTTTGACAATAATTCTTATTTAAGACATTTTAAGAGGAAACATTTAAATACTAAGCATTTAACCCATACATAAAAGAACAATAATACATGTATTTTCGTAAATTGAACCAAAAACTAATGTACTGAAAAACTAATTTGGAACCAAAAACAAACACAAAAACAAGTGTTATTCTTATAATAGACGTACTTCTTGATTTAAAAGTATATCTGAGATATGTATTTTTTATACTAAATCATTATAAAATCCTTTCCTTCCTTTATAGGGGAGCGAATCGACAAAAAACTCTACCAGAGTCAAATCACGAAACGTCAAAGTAACACAAAACACTGCACCACTGCATTAGCACATATCCTATCCAAATATTAATTAGATTGCAAGTTTGAAGCCTACTTACTCTCAATGTTACCGGATAATTGATATTGAAATCAATGCTAACGTTTAGCCGGATTCAACATTGCAGTAAGTGGCGAATATCAACTGTACAGTACCTGCCAAATTACTTGCTCACCTTCCCCAGACCAGATAAAAAAGTTTTAAATTATAAATAACTGAATATATAATGTAACATACCTTCATTAGATATTATTTAACGTAATACACTGTTGATATAACGAAATAGGGGTTCATTTAATAACCAGTATAACTTCACTTAGATCTGCTGAGAGAAGTTGCATAATTAGGAATCGTCATAGAATAATAAATGTTTACAAACATTGCTTCAGTCATTGTCATTCTGACAGAGATAGTGTACTTGTTTTCCTCTAGTCTAAAAAATTTCTAGCATATTTTCTGTTTAAAAATTACTAAGTGTCATAAAAAATTTGAACACCCATTATAAATTATTATATTTTAAAAATATTTTGTACAAATATACAGGGTAGCAGAACAACAAACGATAAAAAGGTCAATATAATTGAAACAACTTATAGGGGAAAGTCAATTAAGAATCTGTTGATGCACCTTGGTGAGCAATACACTCTTGGATGCACCTGGTCTCGTTTCTGATTAGGAGGTCAATATCCTCCTGACTATCTCGTTTTATGCCCTAATTAACCACCCCGAAGTGCTTCCAAAGTTTAAGGACGATGCCCTAAATAAAGAATTCTTTACCCCACCATGTCCCAGACGAGTTCAATTGGGGATAAATCTGGAGATCTTGTGGGCCAGGTCAAAAAAATTGACTCTAGTCAATAACTCCATGGTAACTCTCGCGATGTGTGGCCTTGCGTTAACCTGCTGAAAAATTGGATGCCAGAGCATCTAAAGGTTAAATATCTTTTACTTATCGCAGAGCTGTCATATTTCCCGTGACGACGATTAGAGATGATCTTGAACCATAAGCCATGACACCCCACACCATAACCTCAACAGTGCAAGTGAAGTGGAAGACAAAAAACTGTGGATTTCTTCTTTCACCACGTCATCTTCTAACCCTGGTTCGTTCATCATGCCTCCTTAAACAGAATCAAGATTCACACTAAAGGCAACCCCATTTCATTCCTGGTCCCAAACCAATCGTTCTCTGCACCATTTAAGATTATTACGTCCATGTTCAGGGGGTCAGAGGTCGCATACAGTGTGGTCGAAATAAAAAAGGCAAAAACTGCTAATTCGACGACCCCAATTCGTTTTCCATGTTTTGAAAACGATTTATTTGTAACAGAGCTAGTAGTGAAGCGGTCCCTTAGAACCTTCAGGTGCAGTCTCTTTATGCGATTGTCGCATGCGCTCATTGCAAACAGCAGTCGCAAGTGACGCGCTCTGCACTCGTCCAATGGTAATTTGACTGCATATCAAATGTAAATGAATTGTTGTAGATCTTTTACTCTCCTCACATAAATTCTATGAGTTTTATTCTTTTTAAAGTTATCTAGCATTATTTTTATGCTCCTTTTCAATTCTTACTCTTTTCGCATGCACAAGAGAGAGACCACCTAGTCGCTTGTGTCTGCTGCTTGCGTCAAATGCAAGCGATAGTCGCATAAAACGCCTACACATCCCCTAAATCCCGACTGTGCCATCTGACACGACTGAGCTCCTCAACCATCCTTGTTGGGATGAGCTCTATCTATGTCCCGACCATGCTATCCGACCCTCAATTTCCCGGCCATCCCTGTTACTACATACATTCCGACCATTACAGAGTTACAGTTCCCAGATTCTACAGTTCCTTTTTCAAAATTGCTGGAAATTCTGGAAATCTTTAAAAATCTTTAAAACGTGTAACTGTTTTAAAGATTTCCAGAAGAGAATTGTACTGAACTCTCCGAACGGCTACCAGAAGTTAACTGATTCGTGTTGGGGTCACAGGTCGATACACACATCACGACTCGACAGGTTTTTGGGTGGGGAAGTCGACTCTCCGGATATGAGGGTTGCCAACCAGATCGACCAGCCCGAAGAGAGAATGCACCTTTGGCGACGATCTTGACGCCAAAAAACCAATAAACAAAACAAACCAAAATTGATATATTTGCCCAAATAAGCCTGTATATCAAATTTTATTAAAATAAAATAATTTATAATGCGTTCTCGGATTTCTATGTGCTCGATGCAGTTCAAATCTGGAGAATATGAGGGACATTACAAAACTTTTATACCATTTTCTTCTAACCAATTGGTTACTCGACTACATTTGCGAGAATGAGTGTTGTCATGCCGAATATGCGGTCCTTACTGCTTACTAATTGAATGTCATGTTTTATAAATTAAACAAATTTTCTAAAATGTCACTCACGAATTAAAACTAAATATAATAGTAAATTGTGTAACTGTCGTAGCCTAATCTGAAATGTTGTTAACCACTCAGCAGATGATAACAATGTGTTCATGCACATTTAAGTTCAATCAAGATTATTTGTCTTGGAGATTAAAAATAGGGTGCGCGCATAATTTGCCAGGTACTGCACACTAGTTACTTATTCTTATTTTTAATATAAGTAGTCTTATTTATAGGTAATGGATTTTGACAAGAGCTATGACCTTGTAAATATCAGATAAACTTGTGTACTGCATCGGCATGACTCATAGCTCTTGTCAAAATCCATTACCTCTAATATAATTAACATGTACGGT